AAATATTTTTCCCCCTCCACTCTCCCAAACATTTTCCATTTCATTTTTTTCCTCTCTAAAACCATATTTCATTTTATCTGATTTGAAAAGATCAAAAATCTGCATATATTTCAACCATTCATATTCATATTCAATTTCATTCTGCTTTTTCATTACCCATTCTGTTCCCACTTTTTTAATTAGATCTTTATATGGCAACCAATCTTTATCTCTATGTCTTGAGTAAGATGTTAACACTTCCACTGGTACAATCCACAATGGTCTTACATCACAAAAGTATTTTTTATACCTCATCCATACCACAAATAGTGCTTTTCTTACCACATGAAGCTTAAAAAAGCTATCCATTTTTGTTTTGTCATACCATAAATATGCATGCCAACCAAATCTACAATCATGGCCTTCTAACCCCAGTAACTTATCATTTTCTAATTTCACCCACTGTTCCATCCAGGTTAGACAGACCGCTTCATAATATAGTCTAAGATTTGGTAATTGTAACCCACCTCTATCTTTGGCATCACAAAGAATTTTCATCTTGATTCGCGGTTTCTTGCCTGCCCAAACAAACTTTGATAGTTCTTGTTGCCACTTAAGTAGCAAATCTGTCTTACTAAGTATTGGTATTGTTTGGAACAGGAACATCAAACGTGGTAGGACATTCATTTTTATGACTGATATTCTTCCCATCAGTGACAAATTCATTTTGTCCCATTTCTTAAAGTCTTGAGTTAACTTAGTCCATAGTTTTTCATAATTGTTCTTATATAAGTCTATATTTCTTGCAGTTAACTCAATACCAAGATATTTAGTCTTTTTTACTACTTCACATTGTACCAGGTCTTGCAGTTCCATTTGTTTTTGTTTCGTCATGTTTTTGCAAATAAGCTTCGTCTTGTTCTTATTGACATAAAATCCGGCCAATTCTCCAAAGTCCTTTATTTTTTGGAATAGTAACGGTAATTTGTCTATCGGGTTTTGCACAATGAACATTACATCGTCAGCAAATGCTCGATATTTGTATTTAAGTCCTTTGTGTGTCAATCCCGTTATCTCTTGATCTTGCTGTATTTTTTGTAGAAGTATCTCCAACACCCAGATAAATAATAACGGTGATAGGGGACAACCCTGTCTGGTGCCTTTCTGTACCTTGAAGCTATCTGTCAGTTCTTTGTTTACATTCAGTTTAGCTCTTTGTTCAGAATAGATAGCTTCAATGCAATTTCTGAAGTGTTGTCCCACTTCTATTTTTTCCATCATTTGCAGCATAAACTTCCAGTTAAGATTGTCAAATGCCTTTTCGGCATCGATAAATAAAAAAGCTACTTCTTGTTCAGGGTGTTTCTCATAATATTCAATTGCGTCCATTACTATTCTTACATTGTCTCTGATCTGTCTCTTTGGTAAAAAACCAGCTTGGTCTTCTGAAATCACTGTTTGTAAATAGTTTTTCACCCTCTCTGCAATAATTTTTGCAAAAATCTTGTAATCATTATTCAAAAGAGAAATTGGCCTATAGTTTTTCACATTCGTTGGTTCTTGTCCTTCCTTTGGTATTAATGAAATAATTGCTTCTTTCCAAGAGTCTGGCACCTTCTTACTCTCACGTATATCGTTGGATAAAGCTTCCATGACCGGAACAATTTCTTCTTTCATTTTTTTATAAAACTTTGCGGTAAATCCGTCCGGTCCTGGCGCCTTCCCCAACTTCGCTTCTTCAATTGCCTTCCTCACTTCTTCTTTTTGAATTTGGCCATTCAGTAATTCCTGAAATTCGTTGCTTATTTTAAGTAACGGAACCTTGTCCAAATATTTTTTAATCTTCTCAAGATCTGTTCTATTTGCTTGGAATAATTTAGCATAATACTTGAAGAAACTTCTCTTTATGCCAGTAGGGTCAACGAATTCTTTTCCTTCTTCTATTATTTTGGTTATCATTCTTCTTTCTTTTCTAGCCTTAAGTTGCCACGCTAAAAATTTCCCCGGTTTATTTGCCCCTTCAAAAGATTTTTGCTGTAGCCTCTTTAAATTCCAATAGAGCTCCTGGTTTAAAGTTTCATTCAGTTGTTCTTTCAACAACTGTAATTCTCGAATAATCTTCTTTTTCCCTGGTTTCTTCTTTAATTCTTTTTCTTTTTGTGATATTTTTTCCAACACTACTGTTTGTTTTTGAAATTTTTCCTTCTTTTGCTTCGCATTTTGAGAGATGAGAATCCCTCTCATCACTGCTTTATACGCATCCCACACCACCTGAATTGGGGTCTCTTTATTCAGATTTTGTTGGAAAAATTGCTTTGTTTCTTCCTTTAACATTTCAGTTACATCTTTTTTATCCAACAAATCTTCATTAATTCTCCAAAGAAAGGATTTGTTCCTTTCTATAGAAGTCCACAAAACAGGGTTGTGGTCGGAATTACATCTTGGCAAAATTTCAATTTTATGTGTTTTCATTGACAATTCTTCTGACATCCAAATCATATCAATTCTGGAAAAAGAGCAATGTCTATTGGAATAAAAAGTAAAATCCTTCTGCGTCGGGTTCCATTTCCTCCATACATCCTCTAGTTTTTCCTGCTTGACTATTTCAAAAAAGTTCTTTGGCAATTTTCCACTAATTTCGTTGCCTTTTTGTGATCTTCTATCCAAACGGTCCACAGTTCCGTTAAAATCTCCGACCAAAATGACTTGTTCATAGGTTTGTCCTTGTAGATGTTCAGTTAAGTCCTTAAAGAATTTTTCTTTTGCTCCATTGGGTGCGTATAGATTGATCACCAATGTCTTTTTCTGTTGGATCAAAACTTCCACACCCACATATCTTCCATCCAAGTCTTTAAAAATTTCTTTAGGTTGTAAATCCTTTTTCACATATGTCACAACTCCTTTTTTCTTGTTTGAGGCCGAAGAATAAAATTCTAATCCAAATTTGACATTTTTTAAATATTTAGTATCGGAATTTCTAATATGAGTTTCTTGCAAGCATATCACATTACAGTTTTGTTTTTGTATCCAATGATTGATTCTTTTTCTCTTATTTGGTGAATTTAGTCCATTCACATTCCATGACAACAATTTGTAATCCATTGTAAATTTTAAGTTAAATTTCTCCAAAGGCATCTAAATTGTCTGCCTTAAATTTATATAAGTCCGTCACCGATCTGATCTGGACCCTCCCACTTTTGTAAGTAAAGGATAAGCCTTGTGGAATCTCCCATCTGTATCTGATATTCAAGGTCTTCAGTTTGTCAGCCAGAGGTTTATACCTTTTTCTATCTTGCAATACTGCTCGTGGGAGCTCTCTCATCACCATGATCTTGTTCCCTTCAATTTCGAACGGGACGGTAAATTGTTTCTTAAAGATGTCTTCTGTTGTTGCTCTTGTTACAAATTGTACAATTACATCCCTTGGTAAATTTTTCTTTTCCGCAATTCTGGAGTTCACTCTGTATATCAAATCAAAATCTGCTGGACCACCCCAAATGACACATCCCCACGCTCTGGAGACTATCCCCTGCAAGATAACATGCAGTGGTGCCCAGTCCAAATACTGGTTCGGGAGCCACAGGCTTCTATTTCAGTTGCCCCCAAGATGCCTGTATTTCAAAAAAAAGATTTGAATAAGGAACTGGTTTGTTTGCCCACCACATGAATAAGGAATGAATAAGGAACTGGGAATAAGGAACCAACTTCAGCCTCGTGTGTAATTCCCATAAGAAATAGGAGTGCTTTAAAAACTAAACTGGGGCCCCGGTCACACGGGAGGATTTGCCGTGCAAGAGAGACGGATCAGGAGTGCATCAAGTGGGCGCGATCACACCGCAACATCTGGGAAGCGTCAGGCACCCGTCCCCGATGCACCCCTTTGACCCGTAAAACGTGCATTAAAAAGGTACTACCCAAAGAGCACTACCTTCCGGATGTTGCGCAGCAACTGATTGGGGAAGCGCTGGTAGCCCGTCGCAGCCAGCGCCGTTTCCCATCCCACGCATGTGCACAAATGTGCAACATCCATTTTGCCACGCCATGTCTGATCGCCTGCTGAAGGCCGGAGCACAGAGCCACGGGGGTGCGTCGGATCACGCTCCCACGGTTCTTTTTGCTCTGGTATTTTCGCAGGGAGGGACAGAGGTGGCCACAGTTTGGGGGCGGGGCTTGGGGATGTCCCCGCCCACTCCCCGAACAACCCCACCAATCCCCCCGCCAGATTGACAAGGGGACCTGGCAGCCCTATTTAGGGTTGCCAATCTCACGGTGGTAAGTGCGCTAAACGAAATAATGTAGTACTGCAAATATCAGAAAATATATGCTGTTTAAATAAGTTAAAGTGATATGCTTTTTTTTTTGGGCTGATAACTGCCCAAACTGTCGAAAGCAGCCGTCGCCCACTTCGCACAGAAGTGAAAGTGCGTCAGTCCTCCATCTTAGCTCGACCGGAAGCCCATGCTCGCCAGGTTCAATCTCTTCCCTTCGGCTGTTTTGACAGGCAGATATAAGGATACCAGTGTGTACCTGTCTTTCCAATGAACCTGACTCTGTGCAACATATTCTTTCAATTGCTAGTAGAAAGTTCATTTTGGGCCAGTTACGGTCAAATGGAATGCCTCCCTTGCAAAATCTATGACCAATAATGACCTTGTTTTTTTGTTATCTGACATATCTCCTGAAATTAGTGCAGTTGTCGCTGAGTACCTACTATTTGTATGGAAGTTAAGGGTTAGAAGCTGTAATATTTAGATTTAGCTTTTTATTAATCCCAAATCGGTTCTGTTTGGTGGAGATTTTTAGTATGTGTATATATGTATTTATTGGTGTCTAGTTTGTGTGTGTGCGTGTTGTTGTATTACTATGCCATTAAAGGTTCTTCTCTCTCTCTCACTATTGAAAAATAGGAGAGTTTCCTAACCATACCATACAGGAATGACAGAACAGAAAAGAATGAGGAATCAGACCTCAGGCTAATTCTTAAACATTACAAAAGGAAGGGGGGAGGAGACTTAGACTTACTAATTCATTCTCTGTATTAAATGTCCTCTTTTATTCAGCTCAGGCCTCAACAGAATAATGTAGCATTTAGGGGAAAAGATACAGCCCAATAACCCAGCACTGGAAGCCAAGATAGAGAAGACCTCCACAGCTACCACATATTTCCCTTTAGTGCTCAGATAGGTTGGGATATAACACAACCAAACACTGCAAAACATCAGCATGCTGAAGGTGATCAATTTGGCTTCATTAAAAGTGTCGGGCAACTTCCTGGCCAGGAAAGCCACAGTCAAACTGATGAGGGAAAGAAATCCTAAGTAGCCCAAAACACTATAAAACATGATGGCAGACCCTTCATTACATTGTGCTACCATCTGTGTATTCAGGGACTCCATGTCTAAATCTGGGTAAGGGGGAGAGGTTCCAAGCCACAACACACATATGCCTGCTTGAATAAGGGAGCAAAGAAGGACAATGGAGTTGGTTGTTCTTTTTCCCACCCATTTCCTCATGCTGGACCCTGGTTTGGTGGCCATGAAAGCTACAACCACAGTGATGGTTTTGGCCAAGACACAAGAAACAGCCACTGAGAAGATGATGCCAAAAGCAGACTGCCGGAGGAAGCAGGTCACCCTGGTAGGTTGTCCAAGGAACAGCAAAGAGGAAATGAAGCAGAGGAAAAGAGAGACAAGGAGAGCATAGGTGATATCCCGGTTGTTGGCTTTGACTATAGGGGTATCTCTGTGCTTAATAAAAATTGCCAGCACCCACACCGTGATTAAGGAAAAAGAAAGTGCAATTGAAGCTAAACAGATCCCTAGAGGTTCATCAGAAGACAGAAAGCTGATTGTCTTGGGAATGCACTCATCTTTGTCCTCGCTTGGGTACTGATCTTCTGGGCATTCAACACAATCCTCCATATCTAAACAAAGATAAACAAACAAAGAAAAGAGTTTCAGTGCCACCACACACTTGCCTTAGGTCCTTTTAAGTTTGATGTTACAATAATCGCTGAGATTTTCTTGATGTTGATTTCTTACTGTCTGACTGGATGACATTACGTAATAAGATATTTTGACATTCTTCCACATATTTTAATTATTGTTGTTACTGGTCTTTTCATTGTGAACATGTTAAGTTACTTGGGTTTTAAACCTTATCATCTTTCTCTTCAAATATCTATTTGCGAGAAAGGGTGTTTCCTTGAATTTGGGTTTTCTTTGTCACTTATAATACATACTGGAAAAATAAATGAGATTTCATTTTTGTAAATGAGTAAACAAACATATAGGCTGGTTGCACTCACATAGTTATGCATTTGTTCATTATGCATGTGATTCTACACTTAGTATAAACTTTGGGCAGCATGACACAAAGCCCTGGCTCTTGTATACTTTCATAATTTAGTGTTTGGTAAGCAGTTGTCAGAATTTACTTTGTATGCTGAACAATGGAGTGCAATACATTTCCTACCCATGCAATTTGCAACCTTCCCATTTGAGCATGGAACACAATCATAGCAGCAAAATTTCTCCCCTTCTTTCTTTTTCTTCTGATAACCAGGCGGGCAGTAGTCATTGCACATAGAGAGGGGCGGCACCTATTCAAAAAACACAATGGGGTATTTTTTTTAATGTGGAAGAGATTAGAATCATAGAATCAAAGAGTTGGAAAGGGCCACACAGGCCGTTTAGTCCAACCCCTTGCTCAATCCAGGATCAGCCTAGAGCATTGGGAATCTTAATGTTCACTTGCTGAGATTTATAGTTGGAGTAGAAGGATTTATTTATTTATTTAAACATTTATTGGCTGATCCTAATCCTTATAGAGCTCAAGGCAGTTTACGATACAGTTAAAATGCATTAAAAAAAGAATAAGGGTGGTATGCCTGCAACAACTTTTTGAAGAAAAAAAGAGAGGTTAAATTCTTAGAAAGGGGCATGGATTAACGGTAGACCATATGTTTTGCATTCAGAAAGTCAGTTTCAATCTGAATCAACAGTCTGAATAATCAAACAAACAAAACCTGACTCTGCCATAAACCTTATCAATTCGAATGCAAGTATTGAAAATGTTTTGCAGATATGGAATACACACACATACACACACACACCATTATTCCCAACTACTGCTAGACATGTAGATGCTCAGCTCTTCAGTGCTTCCGTATGTGAAAAGTGGCCTAATCTCCAGCCCAGGCCAGCCTGATCTCATCATATCTCATCTCAGAAGTTAAGCAAGGTCAGACCTGGTTCACACTTGGATGGAAGAATACCAAGGAGGTCCAGAGTTGCTATACAGAGGCAAGTAAATGGAAAACTGCCTCTATTCTTTTCTTGCCTTGAAAACCCTATGGGGTGTCTATTAGTCAAGTACTACTTGATGGCCATGTCATGCAGAAGAACTCACTTTAAAAAAAGCAATTATGCTTGGATTGGTTAGCAGCAAAAGGAAACATGTCTGCCAAAGAACATGGTGGGTAGACACCATAAAAGTTAACACCAGCCTGAGCATGGAACAGCTCAAAGAAACAGTACAAGATTGGAAAACATGGAGACAGCTGGCTCATAGTATCACCAAGAGTCGAACACAACTGAATGGCTAACAACAGCAACAACAACTTGATGGCACTTTCACCATGTGAAATGTAGCCCTGAATTCTTAACACAATCACCCTTGATCATGTCCAAGTAAAACGTAAGGGAAATTTCTCAACCACGAAACACCCACCCCAGCAATGGAAGAGCCTCTGAGAATATCCCAGAACACAGACCTGGTTAAAACTTTGCTGCCACACAATCATATCTTCTTGGATGATCAATTCTTTTCCTTCCAAAGCATCAGGATCCACCTTCCCAACTTTCAGCCTGTGGAAGGACTTGTTTGGGTATATGACCAGGTTCATGACATCAAATCCACCTCCTGTTTCCTTATTATCATTAAAGGATACTGTTTCTCCTGCTGAGTTGTTAAATGAAGTTTCTTGAAGAATGGAGTGAAGCTATAGGAAAAATACAAAAAGAGATCAAGTTGGAGAATAATGCTGAGATTTACTAACAAAGTTATTTTCTGATATTTCTTGATTATTTCATCATCGCTTAACTCCTCAATACAGGTATTTTGCTCTGGTAGGGGTGAAATGTACCACAAACATTTTTAATGCTACAAGAAGTGTACAGATCAAGGAGCTGGGAAAGCACACAATTTTAGTTTATTTTATTTTGATCTCCCAAGCCTATTCTGGATCATGACCAGGATCATGATTGTAAAAACATAAAAAAAATATGTTCCTTATAGATTTCAGGTATCCCACACATCTTTATGTGATTTAGAAAGGGGAGGGGAATTTGTTCAGGGTTAGGGTTAGGGTTTGGTTTAGGTTTAGGTTTAGGGTTAGGCACAGGATTTGTGATTCAGATACAGAAGAAGAACCCTAACTCAATTGTAATATCTAGTTAAAGGATGTCAGATAACAGAAGTTTGTGAAAGCCTTCCTTTGCCTGATGCCCATTAACAAACAGAAATCACTCCACCCTGAGAGGAAATACTTTCTCAAGATTCTAGCAGGCTCCAGGGAGGTGATGGGAGGGTGTGGAGGATCTCAGACCATTGGTGTCTTCCAGTAGTGGTTTCTGAGTTCCCATTCACTGATATTTTAAAGGAATACATGAACATGCAAGAACACATGAAGCTGCCTCATGTTGAATCAGATCTTTGGTCCATCAAGGTCAAAATTGTCAACTCAGACTGGCAGCAGGTCTCCCAGGGTCTCAGGCAGAGATCGTTCACATCACTACCTGATCCTTTTAACTTGAGATGTCGGGGATTGAGCCTGGGACCGTTGAGATGTTCTACCACTAAGACTGAGCCCCTCATCAGGGGAATATAGTGTCTCATAAATGTCACCAACCATAAAATGTATCTTTACTGCTATGGAAATGGACAATGCATAGTGGCCTAGTGTGTAGCAGCCCAGTGTGTAGTACCAGCCAAGGAACATCCTCATTGGTGAGATTGCTAAGGGCGACATACACATTTCTCTTTGTCACTATTGTGCAATTCAAAGAACCCTCGGAAGTAGTTTAGGGTGAGAGAGGGCGACCAGAACAGGACCACCAGTAAGCTTCAAGTCTGAATGGGCATCTGAACACTCAGGACTTCCCAGACCACGTTTAACACCCACCACTACATTTCACAATCCCTCATGTATGTGTGGTGAGTAGCCAGCTGGTCAGCCACGACACTCAATGGTGTCACAACACTGATGCAAAATTGTTCAATGTTCCTGGCTTGGATTAAAAATGAAACTTCAAGGTGACTGTACTAGAGGATTGATTTCAGGGGGAAGGGGCATTTCTAGAAGGAGACATTTACCACAATCTTGTAGGCCCTTGCTTTTAGTACTGGTTATGAGGGTTTTACACTACTGACATTGTTTTTAAGCTGCTAGACCCCAAAAAGGTGTTCACTTCTCTCCAGCCTTTGCCCCACTCAATACCTTCTTCTTGCTCTCTGCTGATAGGTAAAGGTAAAGGTTCCCTTGCTCGAAAGCCAGTCGAATCCGACTCTAGGGTTGCAGTGCTCATCTCAGTTTCAAAGCCGAAGAACCAGCGCTGTCCGAAGACGTTTCTGTGGTCATGTGGCCGGCATGACTAAACACCAAGGCGCACGGAATGCTGTTACCTTCCCACCGAAGTGGTACCTATTTATCTACTTGCAATTTCTTGCTTTCGAACTGCTACGTTGGCAGGAGCTGGAACTAGAGACGGGAGCTCACCCTGTCTTGCGGCACCCGGATCTTGGACCGCTGAACTACTGACCTTCCATAGCCTGCAGTTCAGCGTCTTAACCACTTGAGCCACCGCAGCTCCACTCTGCTGATACCAGCCAGCCTTTAAGGAAATAGCTACATTCTGGCACTGAACAATCAGGCTTACTGTGAGAAAGCTGTTAAAAACCCCTCTCCAGTCCAGCCAATATGAAGGTATTGCCAGATCAACAGGAGCTCCCTGCTTGTCTCTTATATTTCATAAATGTGGGTCAGGATAGACAGCTTCTTTTATGTGGAGACCCCAAGCATCTCCAATTTCAGAAAAAGGACATATTTATCTTGAAGAATATAGTATAGAATTGAGAGACACAGGCACACACAAAGAGGACACTGAGTAGAGCGTCATATGATCACAAGATTTGAGCACAGGAAAAATTCAAACAGATATAAATGCATCATCTTCATTAAGGCTGCGGTCACACGGAGCATAAGCCACGCTTCAGAGACGGAAGAGAGGCGGAGTTTCCTGGCGCGATCACAGGGCAACATCTGGCAAGTGTAGAGCTCCCGTCGGTAACCCGTGGCTAAACGCCAAAGCAGCGCTGTAAAAAACTAGTACCGTGGAGGTACTAGTTTCCAGAAACCGCGGGGCAAGGGCGGGCGTATGACCGTGTTTCCGGAGGAAGTTCCAGCGCCCGCCCATGTCCCCTAGCTAAAAGGTGTTTTTTCTTTCGAGTCTCCATGATTGCGCACAAGCGCCGAACGGAGCATGCGCAAACGGATGTTTAATTAAAAAAACACAACGTACGTCCTGCAGAGAAGAGGAGAGCAGCCAGAAGACAGCACCGAGTGCATGGCTTGAGGCAGGGAGCGACAGATGGGGGAAAGGGGGCAAGGCAGATGATGAAGCCCAGGAGAGGGGGGGCGGCGGCAGAGTAGGACGTC